AGATAGATAGATAGATAGATAGATAGATAGATAGATAGATAGATAGATAGATAGATAGATAGATGAAAGATGGATGGATGGATGGATGGGTTATCATTCTGGTTATCAGCTACAAAACTCTATATGGCTGTTTTTCAATCTTGGCAACTGTAAGATAGATGGATTTCAACTCCCTGAATTTCCCAGCTGACATGCTAAGAATGCATGCTAAGATTATAGTAAATGACCAGGCATTTGCTCCCTGGGGGTTCAGATTGTCTTTTCCAACCATTTGAATCCCAGAATCCTCTGGTAGAGAATTCTCTAGTAGAAGGTACAGCATTATGACTAATCAGTTGATGGGATTTTTCTGAAAAGATTAACAGATTAAACCGAATTTGTTCTCATAATCACAATTAATTCTGCTGCTTCTTACAGAGGTGGACCAGCTTCCAATTATGGTCTTGGAGGAAAGCGAAAGAAAAGAAGGTAAATCGGGATCAAAATTTCATTCTGATGGGGCTGGATTTTTGTGAGACAAAATGCCTTTGTAGATCTTCCCAAATGTGAGCCCTGGATTATTTTTTTCCACCCAAACATTTCCTTAGAGATATTTTGCTACCTGAGAGAGAAAGGACAAGGGTGATCACCCCAAATCAAGAGGGGAAGTCAAGGGTTTCCTACGTTAAGATTGTACTTGAGGTAGGAAACCCTTATCAGGACATTGCTTTCCATGGGAGGGCTCCAGACCTGGGAACTTTAAGGCTTGTGGACTTCCATTCCTAGAATTCTGCTGGCTGAGGAATTCTGGGAGTTGAAGTCCATAAGTCTTAAAATTGTCAAGTTTGGAGACCCTGTGCTATGGCAAAATACATACATACTGTACATACATCCATACATCTTATCATCTTTAACCAGGGGCAGGCTTCAAATTTTTCAGAAAGGGGCTCTCTGCCCTAATGACTGGCTGGCTGGTCATGGCTGGGTGAGTGTGGCCAACTCAACATTGCTTCTTTGTCTTAATTACTTTTAAAAAAAGATAAATACCAAAAAGTTGTTTATTATTTCATGCATTTAATTTAATACTTAAATAAAAGACTGGGTGAAGTCAGGCTTACTAGCAGTGACTGTGAGAGGGATCTTGGAGTCTTAGTGGAGTTTCTTGTGAGTTACGTGATCCTTATTATTTGGGAAATAATCCCCTTGGAGGCTATGTTATCTGGTTTTCTCAACGGCTCTCCCTTGCAAGCGCCGAGTGGATTGTTTATCTAGCTTGCAACACTTTTATGAGGTGTGAAATGCTCTTGGCCGAATGCCCAGTTCAATGAAGCCTATTAAGAGCTTTCCCTTGCTGCTTGTCTTTCTGAGGTTACTGGAAGCTCTCTGAGCCCCACAGTCTTAGCTAGGAACGCTCTGTTATGCGGTGCTAGGGATTTGAACCGCCAACTTTCCAACCTTTCTGATTGACAAGCTCAGCACCTTAGCCACTGAGCCACTGCATCCCATGTTGGAGAACATGGAGAGGGCCATACCCAAGCTTCTTTCTTTCCTTTTGGACAGACCGAGGAGGAGGAGGAGGAGGAAGAAGAAGAAGAAATTGATTGGTGGAGCAAGTACTATGCCACAATGGGAGATTTGTCAAAGAGCGGACACTACCTGGAAAAGGGCTATGATAGCATAAAGGTGTGCTTTTAAAGGAAATATCATAAGAATACGGCGCAGGGCAACAATTGTCACAAGAAATACCAGCTCCCAAGTTTCCCTAGAGACATCAGGTGACTCCTGTTTCTCACTTCATCAAATATCCACCAAAGGGATCTCCAGTTTTCTCTGAAGCTTGGGGCTGGTCTCCATATCCAATGTGTCAGCATTCCCAGTGGTGGGATTCAAAGAATTTAAGAAACGGTGCTCTGCCCTAATGATTTCTTTCAACAGCCAGTTCACCGAACTCCTCATAAGGTCAACAACCGGTTCTCCCAAACTGGTGCAAACTGACTGAATCCCACCACTGAGCGTTCCAACTCCAAATCAATAAACTCAAAGACAAACAGTTTCTCAATGTTCCATTTTATTACAGTTGTCATATTGGCACATCTGGGGAAAACCTGAATTTGAGGGTTCCAGGTTTTTCCCCTTTCCAAAAGAGAATTCAAAGATCCATCCTCTGCACCCACCAGTCCATCACATGGCCCAATCAAATCTTCATCCCAAATGGAGACATTCCCTCCCAGTCACTCCCCTCCAGGTGCAGGGAAACATGTCCTTGACTCTCTGAGAAAGAGTGATGTTGAGTCTAATCTACCACCTCTCTATGAAATCCCCCCTCCCAAATTCCCAGACAGCCTCGAAGCTTCCAAGTAAAATATGGATTCCAAGGCTGACACAATGAAGTTGAATATTGTAAGTCATCTTTTGCACTGGAAGAGGCAATGCTGGCTGAGGAATTGTGGGAGGGTTTTTCAAAGTATGTTCAGTTATTAAAGTAAGAATATTCACATCCAGGCAACACATCACACAGTGTGGACACTATAATCACTTACAATGAGGCCTGAATGTTTACCAATTTTGCAAATCAACAAATGTATAAAATGTTTGGACCATTTGTAATTAGTTAATACAGAAGTGGACGGATGCTTAGACTAGAGAATATAGATCATAGAAACATATGTAGAGAGAGTAAAGAATATCCCAATTGATATTTTTAATCTACAATAATTACATCTACGATATAGTAGATGTAACAATACAAATAGAGGTATTACATTTGCAATGTTGAAGATTTAATAATGTACAATAATATAAGAATACATAGACTAGAGAATAAAAATCACACAAACATATATAGAGAAACTAAAGAACATTTCAATTGATTTTTTTTTAATAACTTGCCTCCCAGATCTACAACTGTGAGCTGGAAGAAGTACCTGAATTCCACGGTCTCCAGGATTTCTGTCAGACCTTCCAGCTGTACCGAGGAAAAGTCCAAGATGATGACCCTGTGGTGGGGGGAGAATTTAAGGTGAAAATATGAGCCCGACTCCCCTCTCTGGCAAGACACCTGAGGAAATTTACCCAGAAAATCTGGATTTCTATCCTTTGTGATCTCTCTTCTTCTTAATTAGGTCATAGACCGGCATGTAGAATACAGAAATCACATTAATTAAACTAAAATACAAAAGACTCCGAATAACAGGGCTGGAAGGGACCTTGGAGGTCTTCTAGTCCAACCCCCTGCTCAAACAGGAGACCCTATACCATTTCAGACAAGTGACTTTCCAGTCTCTTCTTAAAAGCCTCCAGTGATGGAGCACCCACGATTTCTGGTGGCAAGTTGTTCCACTGGTTAATTGTCCTCACTGTTAGGAAGTTTCTCCTTAATTCCAAGTTGCTTCTCTCCTTGATGAGTTTCCATCCATTATTTCTTCCCTTGTCTTCTGATGCTTTGGAGAAGGCAAGCCTTTTTCATTGGAACATGAAGGACGCATAGATAGATAGATAGATAGATAGATAGATAGATAGATAGATAGATAGATAGATAGATAGATATAGAGATAAGAGATAGAATAATAGATAGATGATAGATAGATAGATAGATAGATAGATAGATAGATAGATAGATAATAAATGACAGATGATAGAAATAGGAGATAGATAGATAGATGATAGATAGATGATAGAAGATAGCTAGATAGCTAGATAGCTAGATAGATAGATAGATAGCTAGATAGATGGATGGATAGCTAGATAGATAGCTAGATAGATAGATGGATGGATGGATGGATGGATGGATGGATGGATGAATGGATGGGTGGGTGGGTGGGTGGATGGATGATAAATAGCAATGATAAAAGTGATAGATAGATAGGTAGGTAGGTAGGTAGATGGGAGACAGAGACAGAAACATGAAGGAAGGAAGGAAGGAAGGAAGGAAGGAAGGAAGGAAGGAAGGAA